TTGCGTATTTACTTAGACGTTTTGTATATTTTTAGTGATATAGCCTCTACAAATGTCTTATAGAAAGAAGACTGATGCAAACTGCAGTTGCTAATAAGCGCTCGCACCCAAAGGATATTTCTTTTCATCAGCGTATGACATTTTTCATGTTTCTTTGTGAATTTACTCATGCCCGACGGCGACCTGGGGAATCAGCGTCGAACAATTTGCCAATAATTTAACTTTGTGTTCCAAAATAGCGTATTTGTCTTCAGATAAGATTGGAACTCCTCCTAGATTACAGCGTTATGTCAGATCTCCGTAAACAAAAATCCACCTGTCAGCCTTTTTTCGATTTGCTGCAAAATTATGAACAAATAAGTAAACAACAACTGATTAATTTTTTTAGAGCAAAACCACCTGTTTTCCGATTTCCAGCACCGTTTTCGTAGAGATAGGACCTGCATGACAAAGTTGCTCTACTGGTTAGAACGGTGGAATAAGGTAAACTGTATCGGCTTCCAAACGGTCTTCGATAGCGTGCCTCACCATCGCCTAATTTATAAACTCAGCCGCATGTGAGTTAAAGATATGTCTCAGTCGTGGCTATAAAAAATTCTAATGGGCCGCTCTCAAATTATTCATGTCAATACTAAGTATTCGCTGAAGGTTGTGGTTGAGAATAGTGTTCCCCAAGGTTCCGTTCTAGGCCCTACTTTATTCATTATCCATTTCAAAGATTGTATGGAAGAGTGGTTAGGGATAATACGGTTTAACTCCCTAACGACTGCTATCTTCGGGTACGGTTCCATAGGAAGAAGAGAACAGTAATGGGAAGGCCAGATTGGTAGGAAGGGTGTATTCTGTACAGATAATTTTAAGAAAAGGAAGTAGGAGGTTTGACTCTGATTTGCAGGTGACCGACCGTGAGAGAGCGTGGTCGTCAGTAGCGCCGAAAACGCTGCCTGCAGCCCTCCCTGGCTTGACGGAATCCGGAGTGGTCTAGTGACATATATTCGAGCGAACGCCGTT